AGCGCAGGTCGCCTCCTTTAAAGGAGGCGACCTGCGCTTGACAGTTTGGTCCCTTCACCTGATGAAGGCCACTTGTGTTGTGGCCGAAACGTCGTGATTTTTGTTGTTTTATTATTTTTTACCTACGTGACTTTACCGAATAGAACCAAAGAGTATGGATCCTTGCAGTCACGAAAGCTTCAAATCTAGAAGTGCTGTGTACTTGCACATACAACGATGTGTAGACAAATCATCGTTCATCGTGTATACCCGTAAGGTTTAGTTTTACACACAAGATTCGACAGCCACTACCTTACAAGAGGTACCACGAGCCCAATCGCACCTTCAAACGATGGGCACAGGACACCCCGTGGCACTTGAGCGAAAAATTATCAGATTATAAACATTACATTTAAAATGAACAACAAAAACACAACTTTACTGTTTATAGTACACTGTGAAACAACACCTCATGCCACACTATAAATTTCGACAAATGGAATATAATGTGATTGCCAAGCACGCTGGCAAAACACCAACATCCCTAGGAGGTGTCTATGAGCTGTTTTCATGGTGACAAATGTGCCTTTTTTTGTTGCCAAACTGCAGAGTGCACATATTGATAAGGCCCCTGGGGCAGAAGGCAGGTGTGCTATTTCACGCAAGTGAGCTAATCGCTCGAACCAAAACTCCACCGACATAAAAAAAAAGCCTCGAATAAGTCAAGCTGTAGCTCTCGAGAATGACAGTAAAAAGCGCGTTAAAAGCAATTTATGACATCGCAAGTGTGGCACTTTGTGCATGTCTACTTCAGGCAGCGGTGGGCAACCTGCGGTCTTGGAAGGCCCACATGCTCGCTCGCCCGTGGAGCCCCTCACGGTGGCCTGGTCTAAGTGTGTCAGGGTTACAAGGTCGCCTCCCCCCCCCCATTACACGCTCAAAGTGCTTGCCACAAATGTGAACCACAATACCTTGCCGATCTCGTCAAGGGGCATAAACTATCACGTAAACTCCGGCCATCCTCGCAGCGGCGGCTTTTGGCTAACCGACACACGAAGATGGGTCACTGCATCGCGCGCTTTCAGATAGGCTTCTGGAACGCTCTTCCTTCCGATGTTAGGAAACCACTGGAGCTATGCACTTTAAATCTACATTGAAAACTCATTTCTTTAGAACTGCTTTCTGTGTTTTCGTATATTGTCCTTCCCCCACACCTCCATGAGCACGGTTGGCAGTGTACGGTATGAAAGAAGTTCAACACATGTACATACATATGCATGGGGGCATGGTTAATGCACTAGCACGATTTCAAGCTGGTGGCCCACTCAGGTGAAAGAGGGCCGCTCATGTGGCCCACTGACTTGTCGAGGTTGCCCATCACTGTTCTAAGGCGTCCCCTAAGGTTGCTGGTAGCGTAGGGTTCTGGAACAAAACACATGAGCTTTACGTCATGTTTACATTCATACGGAAAGTAACAGAGTGATGGACTGCCAAACATATACGATTCAGATATTAAACTATCAATTCACAGCATTTCATTACGTTTTACCCTGAGTAAAAAAAATGGAAACTGGGCAGCAGACGGCGGTGATTTTGTTTGTGTACACTAAGCTGCGTTATTGATTGAAGAGAACAGTAGCAACCTGGCAACCGGCTGAACACACTAAATAACTGCTTAGACAGCACAGCGTGATAACTATCAGCCCCTTATCAGCCGTCAACTTTGCACAAACCAATCAGCTCAGTAGCTCTGAGCTAGTCCGTGAAATAAATGACACATCTCAGCCAGCTGTATAAAAGGACGAGAAAGCCAATAGAAAATTATTTTACACGCGGGCAGGAAACCAATTTGAAACGGTGGCAGGTAGTCCGTGTTGGAGTTTAACAAAGCGTAACAGCTAACAGAGTGCGGATGCCTGGCCACTTTCCACCAGAACATTGGACCCGGAGCCAAGGGTGGCACATGCCTATGAGCAAAAACCTACAGCCGCAGATGGCCTTCTGTGACTCTGAGGGGCCATGATAATATTTATTTGTAATGGAGGAATTCGATGAGCTATAAAGCTCTTTTTTCACAGATGTCCAGTAGGAGCACGAGGTCAGAACGTTGCAACAACAAACAATACAAAATCGCGATAGGAGTTCACAGTATAGGAAAGGCAAACAAATCACTTTTAAAAATATATACAAATATAACTAAACTATGTTTTAACTTAGCAGGCAAAGCCCACCGAGGTATTAACTTATTTTTGAGACGCGACACGGCTGCTACAATTGAGAGCTCAACAAAGTGGCTTATCATGTGGGGCAGGGGCACATTTCATAATCGGGAAGCCCGTTGAGCAACTTTTAACTTGCACTGCAGCTTCTAAACTTGGAACTGTACATAAAGCGGCGAGATAAGAACAATAGTGGCTGGAGGATGCATCAGTAGCCCGGGCTGGCTGCGCCCGACGCTGAAGCATCTTCGGGTAACCTGAACTCGACAGGGTCACCTTCACTGATGGTCGAATCCACAATCGTGTATATGCCTATCTCTTCAGTGGTTTATAATAATGAGTGTTCTGCGCAGAGTACTGGAGTCCGCCATAGGATTGTGGAATTTATACCACTAACTCCGGTTCTACCGATGGAGTTAAGGGGCCAGATCCGTGCTTATTTGAACGCGGTGATGGAGTGATTGCTCAGAGCATTAAAACAACTTCAGGGTAAAGCAGGCTCATAAACGTTAATGTGCCATTTGATTGAGGGACTGCGTGTTGTCACCTTGGTGTGATGTGGGACTGTTTTGTCATCGTTGTTTGCTGCCGTGCCCAAGCTTGATAAATCGCCCCCCATAAGTAATGCATTCATAATTTATTCATACGTAGTGATTTGCTTATTACCATTTTCTTGATTATGCACTCCTATCCGGTTTTTGTTGTTGTATTATTTGCTGCTGTAACTTGCTGACCCAGTGCCCATACTGGCCCGTCTGTGGAAAGAGCTTCACAGCTCATCGGGTCCCCACTGCAGTCTAAATAAAGAGTCCCCATCTTCTGCGTTGCAGCTCCGCGCAGGCAGGCTGGAATTAAACGGTGACAATTGCGGCAGCAATCAGCGTGCGGGTATTGTATTTGATGCAGGTCGTGTCGTATAACACTGGACACTTGAGACTGTGGGTAATTAATAGACGCCACCGGCAGCTATATCAGGAGGCACAAAGGGGGCAGGGGAGGCAACGCAAACATCGGTGGCTGTAATTGCGGATGACATCAGACGCGACGATTTTTTTTTAACCCGTTTCTCTAGACGCTTGCTAATAAATGTCACGATTTGAATTCAACTCCCCCCCCAAAAAAAACAGCCATCCGGTCACCACCCCCGTGCAAATTTGAACCTCGACAATGTTTAGAAAGCCAAACCCAAAAAAAAAATCCCTGAAAAAACCCAACAAATAGACTGCAGCCTTAAACAGTTTCGAACACATGGCCAGAAAACCCGGCTAATCCCAACGAACGCTGAACACGGTATTTATGCCGGGTACATTATTCCGTGGCTTAAGCTCAGATCCGCCCATACCAATCCCGACCATTCAACCCCAAGAGCTGCAGATGCGTATCAGCTGATCAGGCTCAGACAAGCGTGCATCATCAGCACGCCCGCACATACATAATGCAACACACACACACGCGCGCGCGCTCACTCACACTAACACACGGTGACTGCGGTACATACACCCCGCACACACACACACGCCCAGTGACTGCAATACCCGCACATACATATACATAATAATAAACAAAGACAAAGATCCACTACCCCCGTATAACCTTTAACAGACTGTAGGGGCAAGTGCTGTTAGCGAGCAGCACCCATGAAAGCCGGCACGGCACACGAGACGTGTGGGGTGGCCACCAGCACCACGCCCGGCCGCCTTTGTCTCCCCAGTGGTGGAAGTTTAAACACCGCACCAGTTACTCCTTCGAGTCGACATTGGGGGAGGAACCCAGGACCGGTCCAAATAATCGTCACCGGTGTCCGCCGTGAGCGAGGATCGAACTCGCGTGGCCGGGGTTTCGTAGCGTAGCGCTAACCGCTGCGCCACCGCTCCCCGCCTACATAATGCGCACCCATAATGCGCACCCACCCAGTAACTGCGACACACACACACACACACCGTCGCTGCAACACACACACAGTGACTGCGGTGTACACACACTGCTGTATTGCAGTATTCCCTCACTTCATACATAATGCACACAGAGTGTGCGTGTGACTGCAGCAGTATACACATGCGTAATGCGGTCACCGGGGGAACACACGCGCATGGCTAATGCGCGCACACACACACACACTAGCACTGCAGTACACACACGCATATAAAGCACAATCGGCTTGCAGCACCCAGACTGCATCACACAGGTGACAAGCACAGCACCGCACATTGACGACTGCATCGCGCTCGCACCATCTATGGGCACCGCAGCACACACGCACCGACAACTCTGCGGACCGAACAACACGCACGTATACATAGTAACTGTAACGCACACACGACATGGCGAGCGACACGCACACGGTGAGCGACACACATGTCGAGTAACTCACGCATACATGGTGAGCAACTCACTCGTATATATACACACACGCAGTGAGCAAATCACACACGGTGAGCAATTCACACACACACACATGGTGAACAACTCACACAGTGCGCAACTCACACAGTGAGCAACTCACACACATATACATTATGAGCAACTTACCCACGCATGCGATGAGCAACTCACATACACGCAGTGAGCAATTCACATACACGCAGTGAGCATCACACACGCAGTGAGCATCACACACACAGTGAGCATCACACACACAGTGAGCATCACACACACACACAGTGAGCATCACACACACACAGTGAGCATCACACACACAGTGAGCATCACACACACACAGTGAGCATCACACACACACAGTGAGCATCACACACACACACACAGTGAGCATCACACACACACACACAGTGAGCATCACACACACACACAGTGAGCATCACACACACACACACCGGAGGCATCACACACACACAGTGAGCATCACACAAACACATGACGATGAGCAACGCCTTACAGGGCGGCCACAGCCCCACTGGGTCGCACCCCGCACCGCGCCTGCGCCCAGGGCTGAAGGTCAGCCCCGAGTGAACTCCGATCACCACCACCACCACCAACCACCACCACCAACCACCACCATCACCATCAACCACCACCATCAACCACAACCACCACCCACCACCATCAACCACCACCCACCACCACCATCAACCACCACCACCATCAACCACCACCACCATCAACCACCACCACCATCAACCACCACCACCAACCATCATCAACAGCAATCGCAAAGTCCACGCATGCCCACAGTTCATTTGCAACACAATGTGAGACACACCACACACACACACGCAGAGACACACACCACACGCACACACACACCACACACACACAACGTGAGACACACACCACACACACGCAGAGACACACACACACCACACGCAGACACACGCAGAGACACCACACACACACACCACACACACGCAGACACACACCACACACACGCAGAGACACACACGCAACGTGAGACACACACCACACCACACACACACACCACACACACACACACAACGTGAGACACACACCACACACACACACGCAGAGACACACACCACACGCACACACACACCCCACACACACAACGTGAGACACACACAACGTGAGACACACACACAACGTGAGACACACACCACACACACGCAGAGACACACACGCAACGTGAGACACACACCACACGCACACACACACACACCACACACACACACAACGTGAGACACACACCACACGCACACACACACCCCACACACACAACGTGAGACACACACCACACACACACAACGTGAAACACACACCACACACACACGCAGAGACACACGCAGAGACACACACACCACACACACACCACACACACACCACACACACACAGAGACACACACCACACACCGACGCGGAACCGCCCCTCTCTCACCTCCGCTTGCAGGCGCATGTCTCGTGCGAGGCGGGCCGTGCCGAGAGAGTTGAGCACCGGCGGCTTGCGGGTGAGAGCGCGAGACGGACAAGACGGAGGAGTGAGAGAGAGGGGTTGAGGGGGAGGTTGGCATGGAGGAGGGGAGGGGGGGGAGTCTGAGAGGAGACTGCGAGCGAGAGGAGAGAGAGGCCGAACCGCGACAGCTCCCCAGACGCGCGAGCCGGCCACTGACGGGACCACGCCTCCTCGCGGGTCATGCCCCGCCCACCACCCCGCCCACAGAGACGGACGCCCCTCCCACAATGATGGCAGCCCCCGCCTGTCACGCACGGACCACGCCCGTCGAGACGAACGCCCCGCCTACAATGAGAGGGAGCCCCGCCCGCAACGCAATCAACCACGCCCATCAAGACGGACTCACAGGGACATCTCGGCCTTCAAAGGCATATGCGGTAGGCTTTAGGGCATTTGAGGTCATAACTCTACCTTAGGGTTGTTAAAACGATAACCGGTTAAACGGTAACCGTTTTCAAAATCCGTTTCCAGTAAAATGTTAGTAATGAATTATTAGAAATGAATACATTACTAGAGTTGGCCTAATTTATCTTTTAAAAGGTCAAGATTCAACCCATCAATGGCTTGCTTCCTCAAACCACTGCTTGTGGTCGCGCCTCCACTAGAGGGGGCTCTAGATGGGATTTGGTCTACTCTTCCACGCTCTCCAGATGTGTTGGAAGATGTAGGAGGTACCCACACTTGCATGGGACCTATCGATTGACTGTGGTGGCACCTATTAATACTGCTTGGCGAACATAGGCGCGGTGGTGGATTGAAGAAACTTGCCCCATTGTTTCAACTGCCGCGCCAGGAGATGGAATCGAACTGCCGATCCTCTGGATTGCAAGTCCAGTGTGCTGACCGTTATACCGCAACAGCTCCCACAACCCATCTCCTCTCGGATGTTTGACAATTTATATTATGGGTCCCACCATGGGAATGTATAATTTCCCACAAACACTGAAGGCTGCCAATGGAATTGATGGGATTACTAACTTGGGTCATTATGACAAAAATGCACTGCATCGCACGCTTTCTGATGCCCTTCTGTGGCCGTCTGGAACGCTCTTCCGATTTTAGGAAGCCATTGGAGCTATGCACTTTTAAATCATCTAGATTGAAAGCTCATTTCTGTAGAAATGCTTTTTGTGTTTAGTTTGTTGACCTTCCCCCGCACCTCGATTACCACAGCTGCCTACGTACGGTGCGAAAGAAGTTCAACATCCAAACAATAGCCTACTCACGTAACTCTGAGATTACAGTACAGTCGTGTATCGTTGTGTACAATTAACTCAACTGATCTACATCTACTGTGCCTGCTATACATTAGTGCTCGTGTGCACGTTATCAGGAGAAGCAACCATCCGAGATTGGTAATTGTTGCTGCTTTTGAACAAGTGGCCTGCTTTCAATGGGACATTCCATTCAACTTTCATTTTACAGATCACACCACGTGGTTTTTCCTTTAACTTTCTTTGTTTAGAATATTTTACCGTGTTTTACGTGATATTTACTCTCCACTTTTTTACAGGTGGGCTCTATGTACATCTGGGGGTGGGAGCTTTGGAATGTTGGGTTTTACTTGTTATATTAGCACCGTTTAATACTGGAACTCTTCTATACTGGAAAACAAATATCTTGTTGATGTCTTCAGGAGGAAACTACATGGGGCTAATTTAGGCTGAAGAAACAAAAAAAATGTCAGTCGTCTTCCTATGTAACGTTTTAAAAAAAACGGTGGCAATACATCCCACCAAATTCCATGGCATCAGAAACAGCATTAACAGTTGTCAGATGTTTGTCTACAAATCACAAAGAATTTTTTAAAAACGATGAGATCAACAACTCACCGGAATGTGAATGAGATGCTTTTACCAATGGGTTTTCTGCACAGGCTCCGTGCTGCAGGCAAGTCATCCAATGAGTGGGATGACAGTGCCGCGTGTAAAAAATGCCACGCCCTTCAACACAATTCTCTGAGATGCCAATGCGGGACTGCACGGATGTGGAAAGGCACATATCGACGTGGGTGTAAAGGTCACACACCTGATTGTCAAAGAAATCGCAGTACAAAATAAGATTAATGTGCGTGGCACTGGCCTGAAATCACAATTACAGTGCAGTACTGTACACCTTGACAGTATAGATGAGAAAGTAATGTATTTTGCAGAACATGCATAGATTTGAATGTATTTATTAATGTAAGTCACTCATTTAAAGAGTTTGAATTTATTAGGGTTGCCCCTGGCCCCCTCCTCCCATAGGAAGTATTTAAATCCCTCTGGTTTGTGCCAACTACTGTGTTTATGGGCCGATATGATGAGTACCCCTTTCTGAATGTGCAATTTCCATCACTGGTTTTGGGCCACCAAGGACGAGCAGTAACCAATTATAATTTGAGCGCGGGCATGTTATCAGTATTAATTTGTTAAAACTACACTTCCAATATAAATTTCAAGGACAACATATGAACCTCATATGTACCGTACTGCATTATGTATGACATAATTAGACATCTGACACAAGGACGGTTAACCTAGCTTATGCACCAAATTTAAGTATTCTTTTTTAAAAATGTGATATATAATTCACATTTTGCCTCGTTCGTGTCCAAGCAATGCTTTGATGGATCGGATCATGTGTTGCACATACTCTGAAAGACATGTGATGCAGGAGTGTCAAATACCACCACTTCTATATCAACATGCAGACATTCACACTATTTCTACAGGATGTTGACTTACAGTACATGTTTGCATTGAAATATCAGATCCTATTGTATGTTTAAGCCTTTGGATTTACATAAAGTCATGTCTATTGATACTGCTGGTAGTCCGCTGCTGCCGTGTCTGTCATGGGTGTTTGTGACCATACTTCACCAGACTGGTCAATACGAGATATTACCCTAATAATGTTCGCTGTGGCCATGATCAAACTCAGTTGTCTGGATTAATGGCTCAGTGCGATAAGCACTACCAGTGTGTGCGCGTCTCTACTCCCCCAATTTTATTTACGGTACTAGTAAAACTGTATTTTTTTAAATCAAATACGCCAAGACATCAAGGAATTCGGCAGATTGACTCTAATGTGACCTCAAACTATTTCGCGTGAAAGTTGCACGAGGAGAACGGTTGGCGAGTTATATGCCATGACAGAATACGCCAATGCAGTGCCGTACAGTCTGACCTGCAATGCAGATCTGAAATGGGCATGCAAGTGCAATCGATCTAAATTTAACCACTGCCTTTTAAGACACGGTAAAGCCTGAAGGCTCAGCAGCTCATCCTCTCCATGCTTGACTAGTCGTTGCTCAAAGCCTCATATCCATGTAGACCTCTGATTTTTTTTTCATCTCAATTCACGGGGGTGGATTTAAGCCGGCAGTCCACCTCTTATTGGAAGCATCATAAAACATCACTGTATTGTCACACATGCCCTCTAACTTTATGAAAATTACGCAAAAGTTTGGCGCCTTTTTTGTCTTATTGCTCATAATTTATCTGTAGGCTGGACCGGTATTCAATGTGAATGAACTCCAAATCAGTTTAATAATTATTCATTTACGTTTTAACGATCGAGGCTATCGACATAATCACAACTCTTACAGTATATTTAAAACTATACAGTACATTATTAAACTTTTTTTTATTTTACCACGTTAGGCCGACTGAGCTATATAGTTCTTTTTCAGAAGCAACCTGGCGACAAATGATAGCTCAACGAAGTGGCTTATCACGTGGAAATGGATAGCAGCCAAATCCTCTAAAGGCAAGTTGAGACTAAATGTGGAGGGGAAAACCGGAGAAAAATCCACACGACCACAGGGAGAACACGGGGAGAACACGGAAACTCCAAGTATACAGGCATCAGAGTCTGGATCGAACCCACGAACTCCTGCATACCAGGCGAGGGAGTTACCATCTCGGCATCGCATCGCTCCGTTATGGATCAGGCTTGGTTGCAGCTCCATTCGGAACGAGGAGTGGGCGAGGGCAAAGTGGGGGTCACTATGACAGTACTTCATTGTTCATAATAAAGGTTTTTGGGTTAGATCGCGTTATTTATAAATGTGTCGTAACCCTCCACCACCCGACACGGCCAATCAGCAAAAAAAAGTGTCACGTTGACAAGAGACAAATAATTCACTACTTTAGCCCACCGGTGTGTTGAAGAGTGAATCCACAACATTTACAGTTTGAGTACGACGTTTCGCTGGTAAATACATCCAGTATCATCGGGCAATTCGCCAGAATGGTAAAGCCCTCGCTTGCTCCCGGTTTTATATAGAGCAGCAGGGTGACGTCATCACTTAACTCATATGAGGTGCAGTGATTAGAGGCGGAGGGGGGTATTGTAATTATATAATCGATTAGTAATCAGTCATTGGTTATGATTAGTAATGAGTTGTAGATTAGTAATTAGTTGTAATGTGTGCTAGTGATTATATGCTATGTTAGTAATCCGTTAATTAGTATGTGTTTCCCCTATAAGGAATTGTAATGTGCATTCATATTCTTAGCTTATAATTATTAAACATTGCTCAAGAGATGTTTACTACCTCACCTGGTATACAGGAGGTCGTGGGTTCGATCCCGACCCTGACGCCTTTTGGAGTTTGCGTCTTCTCCCCGTGGTCGTGTGAATTTTTCTCCGGGTCCTCCAGTTTTCCCTCCACATTTAGAATCAACATGCGTTTATAGTATTTGGCTGCGATACATTCCCACATAAGCCACTTAAGTAGGCCTTACCTGGTAAGATTTAAAAAAACAGTAGTTTCGTTTTTGTAAAAGTCAATATGGGTTGGGCCAAGTTAAAATGTTGTGGTCCAGGGCCCACCCCAGCGCCCTCGTACTCGCCCTAATGTGGATTATCATCTCTTCATTACCAATTAAATACAATAGTTTTATATCGTTGTTAAATATTTTTATATCCCGTAATGAATTATCGTGGCCTATATGGTCCTCAAACATTCAGAAACCATCATCCCTCGGTACAATATTGCACTTTTCCCCTATTCCAGCCTTCTCAAATTATAAAGATGTAAGAAAAGCTGCTTTACACCACAGTATACGACTCAGACAACACTTAAACAGGTAGTTCAGAGACAGTAACACAACTTATCTTTTGAACTTTTTATTGCCGGTTTAAAGATGATGAAAATGAAATAGGTAGTACCCTTTCCAGCAAGCATACGTGTTAAGATGTTATATCCATGTCTGCTCGACCCGAACTATGAATGCTTTGATATTTGTGCAGTGGGTAAATAATCGGCGGGGAACTTCTTGCGAGGCAACACGATATTTATTAACACTCTATTTTACAGGGTCCCTGACACAAAGGGGTAGCGGCCCCTTCACCCGATACCTGGGGAGGTATGGCCTCCGGACTACACGGGCCCTAACACTGGGAACCCGTTAATTCTCCGTCCTCCGGCTGGGGCCCTAGGGGAGGCTACGCTGACCCAACCATGCCAGGGTCTTCGGGTCCTGACCACTAGCCTCACAAGGACGACGGAGCTTGGGGTCCAGGGTCCTAACTTCAGCCCAGGTCTTCGGTCTTCAGCTTGGAGATGACTGAGCCAGACCCTTGAGAGGTCCGGCTTATATACTGTTTCGTGGCTTGCCCCGCCCTAGCCACGCCTCCCTTCCAGAACTTTCTGGAAGGTAACATCATCCCCCGGTCCCTCCTCCCGGGGTCTGGGGAATGTGTCCCAGGATCCGCTTCCCAGGGATTGTCGTTGGCCCCTTGGGCCATGGTCATTAACACTGACGTGATAGACCCCTGTTGATGAGAAGGGGGAGCTACTCGCTAACAGGATGGGGCGTGCCGATTAATGCCTCGACATCTGCATTGTCTTTTGGCTGTTTGCTTTTTGGCGTTCTCTGGTCTATAACGCTCGCGAGACAATGCTATAAAGGAGAGGCTGTCTCTAGTGTAGGCCAATCCGTTCCAAAGACAATGCATATATTATCAAAGCAGGTTTGTTTGCATGTTTTACCACGAGGAAGTGTGGTCAATGCATGTGTCTATTTGGTGTTTGAACATCTTAACACCTGCATTCTTGTAGGGAACGGTAAAAAAACTATAAATGTTCATAATTACACAACTTACAATGCTACTCTTGAACAATACGATTATGACTCATGGCGTTAGGCATGTCAAGAAACGTTGCCTTCATACCATCAAATACAGTATTGTATTGTACTCAGACACGAGCTGTCAGGGTTACACCCATACAGTACGTCCTATCCTCGCTGCCACTTAAACTCGACTCTATCCATCATGCCATATTTTAGCCCTGTTGCCATAATACGGTTATTGAAATACCCCTGTTTACCTGGGGAAAGCCAGAAAAAACTTTATTTTGAAGCATTGCAAGCAATCAATGCGGGGAATCATTACTCTGGGAATCATCAGTCAGATAATGGACTTAAGGTGGGCAATTGACCTTAAGGCGATGAGAAACTTGGACAATTCTGTGGTGAGTGTCTTCAGTCATCGTCAGCAGCTGAGCAACTGCGGTAACGTGGGTGCGGCAATGGCAAAGCATAACTGATAACAAACACACCCCAATCGGTATCTATATTACTCATGCACCTTGAAGTGGCTTAGGGGCCGTCCATAAATGACGTCACGCACCTAGGGGGGGGGGTCAGACGAGGGGGGGGGATTTCAGAAATGTGACATCACATCAAAATGCGCAACTTTAAATAAATGTAGACAACACGTTCTACTTAATTAAATAGACTTTTTAATACATGTTTTCTCCTACAACATCAGAGTGCAGCGCCACATTGAATACGCACTACAATGACAATAGTTTAAAGCGATTTGAACCATGCTTTATTTTTTGGGAGGGGGGGGGCAGAGCTTTGTGACGTCATATTTGAAGGGGGGTCTGACTTTTTGTGACGACGGGGGGTTGGGGGTCAAAAATCAATCCAAAATCACGTGACGTCATTTATGGACGGCCCCTTATTACTCATGCATCTTAAAATATGTGACAAAAAAAGCAATACAATTATATTTCAATATGAATATTGTTTGCCTGAGAATCAATAGCAAATACTGTATTAATCCGTTTTACTCACTAGGGGAAGCAACAATCAGATTTGTCCACATTTGGGTGACTAAATTCACAATAACTACAGTTTAGCACTGTGCTATATTGCCAGTGATACTTTGACCCAAAATTGTCACAGTGTATCATGAACGTTAAAGGGGTCAGGTTTTCAACAATTGTGGGTTCTGGCTTTGAGATCAGTACATTAAGTCGATTGTTAGATTACAGATTTTAATCAACTACTTTTTTGGGAGGCACATTACTCATGCATCTTTATAAATGTGGCAGACCCTATCCTCTCGAAGGCGGGAAACCCCCAAGTCACGCCCAGCCTGGTGATGTCACAACGCCTTCATCCACCACCTCATGTAACAGCGTCACACGTGGGAACAGAGGTGAGACTTTTTCTTTCCCCAATTATTTTCGTGATATCTGATTCGTCGAGTGATTTCTAATTTGACGAGTAATCGAACCGATAATCAGTCAAGTAATATATTACTTAAATATCGGAATAGCCCAGTTGTGATCTAGCATAAGTAAGAGTGAGCACATGCTACCCATGTGGATGAAGAGTGCATGTCGCACAACTTAAGTGGTCAAGTGAAATTGTTAATTCCATCCTTGATTATTATTTTTTCTCTAAATTCCATTAAGCAAATACATGATCTTGTTTTAAAAGTTTACCACGTCTACAAACAAAAACAATATATCTCATGATAATTATTAAAGAAGCGCATGAGTACAAAATGTACTATACCCTATACACTACACGAGGTTAGGCATGAAACACCGTAAATAACAATGGTAAATGGTAATGCACCTGTGTATGTTGAACTTCTTTCGCACCGTACGTAGACAACCGTGCCAATCGGAGGTTCGGGATATACACTCCATTCGCCAAGTGGTCAAACACACATTGCATTGCTCACGCATACGCATGGGAAATTAAAAGTGTTTTACTTGCAATTATATTCACAGCAGCTGTTATGGATTACAGTAATGGATTATTGGGCCGCTAGATAAAGCAGGTTCCTCTGCAGCCACGAGTGGAACGTGTTTATGGTATGACCTCCGATGAGCACGGTTGGCTACGTACGGTGCGAAAGAAGTTCAACATACATACATCAGCTATATATTTGCTGCCACTACAGACCGTCCATGACTATGATGGCTGCGTCGATGTAGAGTATTACGCTTTGAAATACATTTTTGTCAAATCGTGCAAAGTTAACACTGCGAGATTTCCAATTTCAGTCACACGCATTAGATATTTTAAACAGTCCTCTGTAATGAAAATGTATAGGAAGGAGGGAGGGGGGGGGGCGACTGCACGTGACACTTCAGAATACACGGTGAGAAATGGATGGCCCTCTCGCGTTGCCCAGCATGACGCTGCACTAAGCGTAAGCACAACACGTGCTTGTGCTTGAGAAATTCAAGACTCACACAACCCCCGACGACTACTCATGCTGACTCTCCACGCAGAATAAATCCCACAACTAAGATGACGGCCCTTGCTAAGCATCAGAAGCAACGGAGGCACGGCTCTGTGTGTCTACGCGTAATAGTGCAGAACGACAGCATGAGCTGACTACTCATGGAAATGAACCCTGGGTTTGTTTGTTTTTCACCACGAGATGCCTTGGTTTTTTTTTTCACCACGAGATGCTTTGTTTTGTTCGCCATTGAACATCAGCCCTATCGTTGATCTTATGTTTAAACATTGTCTAGAGAAGTTTAGTGTTTCTCAAATGGGAGGTCATGCTCCCTGAAAGGTAATCCGGCTCAAGAAAGGTAATCCGGGGGTCCCCTAAACTCTGTCCCTGTGTCCTCGTCTTTCCCACCTCGTGTCCCTTGCGTCATATCTGTCTCTCTCGCATCTCTCTACCTCTCATCTTTCTCCCCATCTGTCATTCTTTTCACGTGTCTCTCAGTCTCTACCCATTTTATCCTCTTGTACAGTGAGGGAAAAAAAGTATTTGATCCCCTGTTGATTTTGTACGTTTGCCCACTGACAAAGAAATGATCAGTCTATAATTTTAATGGTAGGTTTATTTGAACAGTGAGAGACAATAACAACAAAATCCAGAAAAACGCATGTCAAAAATGTTATAAATTGACTTGCATTTTAATGAGGCAAATAAGTATTTGACCCCTCTGCAAAAGATGACTTAGTACTTGGTGGCAAAACCCTTGTTGGCAATCACAGAGGTCAGACGTTTCTTGTAGTTGGCCACCAGGTTTGCACACATCTCAGGAGGGATTTTGTCCCACTCCTCTTTGCAGATCTTCTCCAAGTCATTAAGGTTTCGAGGCTGACGTTTGGCAACTCGAACCGTCAGCTCCCTCCACAGATTTTCTATGGGATTAAGGTCTGGAGACTGGCTAGGTCACTCCAGGACCTTAATGTGCTTCTTCTTGAGCCATTCCTTTGTTGCCTTGGCCGTGTGTTTTGGGTCATTGTCATGCTGGAATACCCATCCACGACCCATTTTCAATGCCCTGGCTGAGGGAAGGAGGTTCTCGCCCAAGATTTGACAGTACATGGCCCCATCCATCGTCCCTTTGATGCAGTGAATTTGTCCTGTCCCCTTAGCAGAAAACACCCCCAAAGCATAATGTTTCCACCTCCATGTTTGACGGTGGGGATGGTGTTCTTGGGGTCATAAGCAGCATTCCTCCTCCTCCAAACACGGCGAGTTGAGTTGATGCCAAAGAGCTCCATTTTGGTCTCATCTGACCACAACACTTTCACCCAGTTGTCCTCTGAATCATTCAGATGTTCATTGGCAAACTTCAGACGGTCAAGTATATGTGCTTTCTTGAGCAGAGGGACCTTGCGGGCGTTGCAGGATTTCAGTCCTTCACGGCGTAGTGTGTTACCAATTGTTTCCTTGGTGATTATGGTCCCAGCTGCCTTGAGATCATTGACAATATCCTCCCGTGTAGTTCTGGGCTGATTCCTCATCGTTCTTCTGATCATTGCAACTCCACGAGGTGAGATCTTGCATGGAGCCCCAGCCCGAGGGAGATTGACAGTTCTTTTGTGTTTCTTCCATTTGCGAATAATCGCACCAACTGTTGTCACCTCACCAAGCTGCTTGGCAATGGTCCTGTAGCCCATTCCAGCCTTGTGTAGGTCTACAATCTTGTCCCTGACATCCTTGGAGAGCTCTTTGGTCTTGGCCATGGTGCAGAGTTTGGAATCTGATTGATTGATTGTGTCTGTGTACAGGTGTCTTTTATACAGGTAACGAGCTGAGATTAGGAGCACTCCCTTTAAGAGTGTGCTCCTAATCTCAGCTCGTTACCTGTGTAGTGGTTGATTTCACTCGGACAACTTTTGTCTTTTTTCCAACACCACTTTATTTACGGTTCTCCACATGTCCTCAATGCTCCACAGTTGCCTTGTTGCCACAGCTCGCTCGCCGTGCTCCACTCGACTCGCTCGCCGCCTTTGTCTCTCCAATCTCCGCTTCTCCGTCAGCTCCGATGTCTCTGTGCTCTCTCCACTGCTGGCTACTTCGTCTCTGCTCTTCGATCTCCGCTATCACTATGCTCTCTCCACTGCTAACTGCTTCCTCTCTGCTCCCTGCTCTCCGCTATCACTATGCTCTCTCCACTGCTAACTGCTTCGTCTCTGTCTTCCGCTCTTCGCTATCACTATGCTCTCCCCACTGCTAACTGCTTCGTCTCTGCTCTCCGCTCTTCGCTATCACTATGCTCTCTCCACTGCTAACTGCTTCGTCTCTGTCTTCCGCTCTTCGCTATCACTATGCTCTCTCCACTGCTAACTGCTTCGTCTCTGCTTTCCGCTCTTCGCTATCACTATGCTCTCCCCACTGCTAACTGCTTCGTCTCTGCTCTCCGCTCTTCGCTATCACTACGCTCTCTCCACTGCTAACTGCTTCGTCTCTGTCTTCCGCTCTTCGCTATCACTATGCTCTCTCCACTGCTAACTGCTTCGTCTCTGTCTTCCGCTCTTCGCTATCACTATGCTCTCTCCACTGCTAACTGCTTCGTCTCTGTCTTCCGCTCTTCGCTATGACTATGCTTTCTCCACTGCTAACTGCCTCGTCTCTGTCTTCCGCTCTTCGCTATGACTATGCTCTCTCCACTGCTAACTGCTTCGTCTCTGTCTTCCGCTCTTCGCTATCACTATGCTCTCTCCACTGCTAACTGCTTCGTCTCTGCTCTCCGCTCTTCGCTATCACTATGCTCTCTCCACTGCTAACTGCTTCGTCTCTGTCTTCCGCTCTTCGCTATGACTATGCTCTCTCCACTGCTAACTGCTTCGTCTCTGTCTTCCGCTCTTCGCTATCACTATGCTCTCTCCACTGCTAACTGCTTCGTCTCTGCTTTCCGCTCTTCGCTATCACTATGCTCTCCCCACTGCTAACTGCTTCGTCTCTGCTCTCCGCTCTTCGCTATCACTACGCTCTCTCCACTGCTAACTGCTTCGTCTCTGTCTTCCGCTCTTCGCTATCACTATGCTCTCTCCACTGCTAACTGCTTCGTCTCTGTCTTCCGCTCTTCGCTATCACTATGCTCTCTCCACTGCTAACTGCTTCGTCTCTGTCTTCCGCTCTTCGCTATGACTATGCTTTCTCCACTGCTAACTGCCTCGTCTCTGTCTTCCGCTCTTCGCTATGACTATGCTCTCTCCACTGCTAACTGCTTCGTCTCTGTCTTCCGCTCTTCGCTATGACTATGCTTTCTCCACTGCTAACTGCCTCGTCTCTGTCTTCCGCTCTTCGCTATGACTATGCTCTCTCCACTGCTAACTGCTTTGTCTCTGTCTTCCGCTCTTCGCTATGACTATGCTCTCTCCACTGCTAACTGCTTTGTCTCTGTCTTCCGCTCTTTGCTATGACTATGCTCTCTCCACTGCTAACTGCTTCTCTCTACAGCTGCTCCACGTCTTGCCTCGTCCAGCCCCCGACTCCAACTCCCATTTCTCCTCGCGTCTCCCCAATTTATCCCCGCTATCATTACACCCCAATTAATTAACCCGCAGTCCCAACGACGCTCCGCGTGCCCGTGCGCCTGTTACCTCGCCAGACTTCTAGACGCCACTCCAGCCTTGTTAACAACACCAGCCAATCACAGCCGTCCCTTTCTCCCCCAGCTTAATTGGCCCAATCGTTACCTCTTCGTCCCAATATGACCCCCTACTGTCCTGCTCCCGCGCCAATTACCCCCATGCGCCTATTTATTCCACTACACCTGGGAGCCAGAAATCTTTCTAATTGAGAGGGGGTCAAATACTTATTTCCCTCATTAAAATGCAAATCAATTTATACAAATTTTGACATGCGTTTTTCTGGATTTTTGTTGTTATTCTGTCTCTCACTGTTCAAATAAACCTACCATTAAAATTATAGACTGATCATTT